CAAAAAAAAAAAAAAAAAAATGTGACCTGGATGGAACTAGAGTCTATAATACTGAGTGACTTCTCACAGAAACAAAGATCCTAGTATCACATGTTCTGACTCATAAAATGGACCTTTAACATCCAATGTAATAGTATAAGAAAATGACTGACAGTAGTGGGAAACTATGGGGGGGGGAAGGTGGGATTAACGGTAGTAAATATCTGTCTGGGGATGGGGAAACACCTCTTATCAACAGGGTGCCTGAATGAAACGTATTTGTATACCTAACCCTTAACTGTACCCCACAAAACCATAAGAAAAAATATTGTTTAAAAAAAATGTGGTACATATACACGATGGAACATTATGCAGTCATGAAGAACAAAATTATGAACTTTGCAGCAACTTGAGTCTATCATATTCAGTGATCTATCACAGAAACAAAGAACTGAATACCACATGTTCTCGCTCGTAAGTGGATGCTGAACATTTACCATAATATAATAAGAAAGGGACTAGCAGTAATGGGGCACTGCCAGGGATGGGAGGAGTAACATCAATAAGGATACCTGATCTCAAACCAGGCAAAGTGCGGATCACCAAAGGGAGGTCCAAACTTTACCTGTATGATGACCCTTGTATACCTAATTCTGAATTGTACCCCACATATTAATAAAATAAAAAAATAAAAATAAAAATTTAAGATAGGTTCTGAGATAAAGTGCTATTTTTAGGCTCCTAATATATACTCATTTCCAATCTATAGTCACATCTGTTTTATATACAAACATCTATAGCTGTAAGTATTTAAGATATTTTAATCTAAGTTGACGGATCTTTGCAGAAATAACACATAGTCTATCAAATCTTAAAATACGGAGTTAGATAAAAATCTTTCAAATATAGGAAGTCTACCAGTCAGTATTCTTATCACACAACTAAGTTAATAAACAGACATTCTGATTTCAGTGTAAATACTTCATCTCTTGTGCATCTTAAACAAGACTATCTTGAGTGTGGTGGCTCTGGGCTGCAGGTGGAGGGTCAGACTACAGCCACGAGGAAGTCACCAAGGAACCACCATCCTGAAAGGCCATTCTGTGATGGCACCTGACCTTGTTACAAGCCTTACTTTTAAACTTCTGTGAGCAGTTCTTAACTTAAATATTCAAAGCAAATTTTGCAATAACCCAAAACATGGTATGTTGATTGACATACTTTTTTTCACTTACCCTCCCTGTCCAATGACAGGTACAATCTTCACATTTTGTTGAACATTATCTCCATTTTTCTTTTTGTCAGAGTAAATACCTTGCCACTCCTATAAATGGAATGTCAGTGTCATTATACTTTGTGTTCAAAACACAAACCCAAGAACATTTTCCACTTCAGTTCCAATTCATGTACCACTGCTAAAGCAATTAGGATAAAAAATAACCCCAATCCCAAATCCAATTTCAGGTAATCTGACAATTCTTTCTCAACCTCCAAAGTCCATCCTCTTGGATCGCTGATAAAAGCCAGATCACCACAGTCTAAGTGGTCACATGTTTTTGGTGGCAGTCTGCTGGCAATATGGGTCCTGGGCCCACAAATGAAAAGCATTTCCTCACTTCAAAGCACAGGTTCCTCCTCCCATAACCCCTACTTGCCACAATGGAAGAGGGGGCTTGGCCTCTGCCTCCATGTTTGGGAGGGAAAGAATCTCAGGACTGGGGCCAAAAGTGGCTGTTCGGTGGCCATTACATGGTGGGCTGCTACTAGCTTCTCAGACTAAATGGCTTGAGTTCCCTCTGGGATATGTGAGAGATTCAGTTCCTCTGCAGGTAGGGTGGGGATGATGAGGTAACAGCCAGAACCAAGCTCAAGTAAAATACACAGATGAGACCTCAAAACCCAGGGCTATAATCATGTTGGTTGTACTCTCCTTATCACACACAGAGCCTGGAGATTCTTTCAGATAGGGAGTACATTCTGGGTAAACAGGACTGCACAGGACAAACCACAAAGAGAGAACAGGACTGCAGTGACTCCTCAAATCTTGGGGTAGTGGAGAGAACTGGGACAAAGCTGGGTTTCATCACCATCCTAAAAGGTTCTGAATTCCTCCAGAAGTAACCAGGGTCCTTAAGCTATGGAACTATCTAAAATCCACTGTAAGACACCAAACTCCTAGGGTATCCTGTAATCTTCTTGACCTTCCAGAGTCCCTCAGGACCTAGAGATGGCCTAGGCTGGCAGTGGACCACCATGGCAGCCTTGTTGGCTTAGCTGAAGTCTCCTGTCCAGATCCTAACTCAAGGTCAGTTCTGAAATATTCCATGTGGATCAAAAAGAAACCAGGACATTCTGACAGAAGCTAAGGATGTTTAGTGATACTTCCCGATATGATGCTACAATGGGCCCCCAAAAAATGACCGCATCAAAAAACAGGTAGAGAGGCCAGCTCAGTGCCTAGCTTACACTGGAGCAGAAGGGAGGTGCAGGCCCTCCTCAGTACAGTTCTGAGGCAAGCTCAGCCTGGAGAGAGGCCTGTGCCCCAAACCAGCAAAGACTAAACAGGGACCCCTAGGCAGGAATGAGTAGGTTGTCCTCTATATTCACAACCCACGCATCCACCTTAGAAGGCTCTACAGATGGGTCTGGGAAACTGACTGTGGTGATGTTTGCAAAACTCTGAAATATACTAAAAACCGCCAAACTGTATGCTTTAAGTGTGTGAGTTGTACGGTATGGGAATTACATCTCAATAGAGCTGTTATATTAAAATAAGAGAAAGAGAGAGGGAGAAATACAGGAGGAACACTTCAATCAACCTACACTTTAAAAATATATCTCCTGAGAATAATGACAGTGCTACCATAGAATGTTATCATGAAGCTTAAGTTGGGTAATGCACATAAACTCTTAGCAAAGTCCTGATATGCAGCGAAAATTCAGTCCACGGCTTGGTTCAGGCATTGGCGGTATGCACAGGGCTCTCTCTCCAGGCCGAGCTTCCTCAGAACAGCAGCAAGACCTGTACTTCCTTTCTGTCTGGCACAAGCTATGCACGAAACTGGGCTTCTCTGCTATTGATACAGTTCCTCTTGGTGCCCATTGTCTTGAGGATTAAATCATCTTCACCCAGTTGTCCATCATCCAGCTGTCAGGGTGAGCACAGGGCAAGCACAGAGTGTGCACATGGCAAACAATCAAGGGACACTTGGGGGTTTTTGTTTACTGAATGGAAAAGGTAGGCTGAGGTCAACTACAGAATCCTGGTAGCCAGACTAAGGAATATGAATGCAATACTGAGGGAGCCACATGGCAAAAGGATGACTTAGTAAGACTAATCATACAGTAGTATAGAGTGGACTGTGTGAAGTTAAAGGATCTTTGCACAAGGAGCCCTAACTGGATTCAGCCACTGTAATTCCAGGATGTAGGAAGAATGCCCTGAACAAGGTCAGGGCCAGGTAATGGACCTTCAACTCTCAAAGGCAAGAGCATAATAGCCATTAAGGCTTGGTGATGGGTTTGATGGAGGAGCCCAAATGGCAAGGAGGAAACAAAACCATGCCAAGGTGCTCCACTTTCAGCTTGGGTCAACTCTAGATCCTGAGGGATCCTGGAAGGTGAAGAAGGTTACAGAATACCCTAGGAGCTCAGCATCCTACAGTGGGTTTTAAGAACTTTCATAGTTTAATCTAAGGCTGAATCTAAGTCAAAGTAACTGTGAAGTTGGTTCATAAACACACGCAGCAAGGACTGGGGCAGAGACTGGTTTTTTAAGAACGATGAGGAAAAAAAATTATTGTTAGATAATTTTTTTTTTTTTTTTTGAGTTGGAGTCTCTCTCTGCCGCCTAGACTGGAGTGCAGTGGCCACTCCCGGCCACCGCAGCCTCGACCTGCTGGGCTCCAGCGATCCTTCCGCCTCAGTCTTCCAAGTAGCTGGAACTACAGGTACTTAGACAATTTAATTTCAAGGTGATGCAGGATGTTGAACCAGACCTTGGAAAAGAGGCTGAGATTCAAACCAGGAAGTTGTGAGATTTCTATATAGAGCAGGAAAGCTACCTCAACAACAAAGGAGCTTTCTGGGGATGACAGCAGGGGCAAAGGACAGAGTTTGGTAAATCTGGAAGGAAACAGAAGGAAGAAGAGTAGGAAAAAGGGAGTTGGTGAAGGAGGAAGAAGTGGCAGCACCAGGAGCCAAGGAGAGTAAAAGCTTTGAAAAGCTAGAGTTCTGCAGCTGCACACCAACATCAGACATCTGAGCAGCCACCATTTCTTCAGCACCTATTATATGCCAGGGGAAGAACAACGCAGTTTCTGAGGGAGATTTAAACAACCAAGATTTCTAAAAGAGGAGTAAACATAAAGCTTAGGTATCTGAGACGATGAGAGTCTATGGGTTCTAGAGCCCCAACAGAGAAGTCTTGGGGAAGAATAAAAAAGAGAAGCATCAAGGGGACCACACACATGGGGAGGCAAGTAAGCATGAGTGCAGGGGCTGGAAATCAAGGCACCTGTTGTTTTTACCCCAAAGAGAAGCCATTGACTGAGAACAATGAGCAGGGGGTGCTGTCAAGAGTGGTGTTTGTAATATTATCTGCTTGAACATCATCAGACTTTCCTGCCCCCGAGAATATCCAACTTCGATATCCAACAGTAGAATCTAACACTTGAAGTCCCATGGCCACTGACCACATCCTAAGTCTCCATTCTGTCATTCTGGCCCCCAGCGCATGTCTGAACTCTCCTTCCTGAGCACAGTACCACGTTCAGAGGCCTGATGACTCCTCACTAAGCCCTTCTCCCTAGGGAAAAGCTATATAGTCTTTCACCTCAAAAACATCAACCAGCTAAGCAGCCTGCCCTGCTGCAGTGTTGCCAATAAACCAGCAGGTTATTGACAGAGGACAACGGGTCACTTTTCTACTCTCCCCACGAACTGTGAAACATACAAAACAAATACCCAGGCTCCTTTTAGCAATAAAGCAGTGTACAGGAGTCAATATTATGATAATCTTTCCTATTGTTTGCTTACAACAAATACAGATTTTAGAAAACAGGTCTCCTGCTATTCAAGTCTATTGAGGCCCTTTGTACCTGGTGCCCAACAGCACAACCCCAGCAGAACCAAGAGACACTGTTCACACAGACCTGGATGGATACCAGGGTGTACAGCAAATCCATGCAACACCCCTTCTCTACCTCCTCTCACCCTCCTCAGTGAGAGGAATATGGAATGCCTCCATGTCAGTGTTGCCACATCAAGGTGCCAGAGGGCATGTCCAGTTAAACCTCACAACAAGACCACTGGCCCACCCAGCGGCAGCAAGGAACCTAAAGGTCAGGACTGGGATGGCCACAGAAAAGCCCCCTCCATGGCTGCCGTGGTCTGGGATGACTGGTGTTCTGGGATGACTGCCTCCTGAGGACGGTCTTCTCAACCAGAAAGTAAACACTTGATCTCATCCACTCAGTCCACCTGAGCACCCAAGGGTCTCTTCATCCATCTCAGCCTTCGTTTCTCTCTTTCCAGAGGACCTTCCACTCCCTCTAATAAGAAAAACAACATCCTTGACAGAAAAACTGAAACACCCTGTCCCATGGTAGCCTGTGACTTTGTGCAGGGGAGAGGACAGTGCTTCCACAGGAGCCTCCACAGGGCAGGAGAATAGGTTATCAACTTCTCAATGTTTCAAATGATCAGATTAGAAGGCTCTACCAACTTCCAAAAGTAGAAAAGAGCCTGGCAGAAAGGACTAAGAATGATTGTGAAAAGCAGCTGCTACTCCTTACTGTATTCTAAAAACGTGTAGTAGTGAGGTGCTGTCAGAGGCCATGATTCAGAGAGAGAAATAACTTTGGAGGCTGAGCCTACCTTTTTTCTGTCTGTTCCTGCAGCACCATGATTATGTGACTTCTCACATTACTCTCTAATGATTTCTTTTATTTGTCTGTTTCCAGTCCCATGAGTTCTCTAAGGCAAGAATTTTTGTTTTGCTCTTCTTTCTTTTTTTTTTTTTGAGTTGGAGTCTCACTTTGCCGCCCAGGCTGGAGGGCAGTGGCACGCTCCCAGTCACCGCAGCCTCGACCTGCTGGGCTCTGGCGATCCTTCCGCCTCAGCCTTCCAAGTAGCTGGAACTACAGGCGCGCACTACCACACCCAGCTAATTTTTTTGATTTATTGTAGAGATGAGGTCTCGAACCCGCGGGCTCAGGCAATCCACTCACCTCAGCCTCCCAAAGCGCGGGATTACAGGCTGAGCCACCAAGCCCGGCTTAATTTTTTGATTTATTGTAGAGGTGAAGTCTCGCCAAGTTGCCCAGGCAGGTCTCGAACCCACGGGCTCAGGCAATCCACTCACCTCAGCCTCCCAAAGCACGGGATTACAGGCTGAGCCACCGAGCCTGGCTTGCTCTTCTTGTGATACCTGAATCTGGCATGGTGCCTGGCAAACAGCATGCATTTAAAAAATACTCAGTGAATGAATGAGCCTCAGAGAACTGTTGGGCTCAAACATGTTCTGAGAATGTGTTGCTTCACTGGCAATTCTTTACCCAGAACCATCTGCCAATATCTACTTAGAAGATCATTATTAGAAAGACCAACTTAATCATTTATTATTAAGATAAAAATAAAGATTTTAAGTGTCAATGTAAGTTACTCTGCTTATTAGCTATATATTTTCTTGGCCCCAGTTTCCTCATCTGCAAGGAGTATAAAAGGGATAAAACTAACTTCACTTCCCTGGGCTGCTGGGAAGAGTAAGACTGAAATTACCTGGCAGTGCTCAATGAACACTAAGTCTTCCTTCTCTCTGTGTTTTGTGAAAGTAAAAACGGTACTGGTCTTTTACTCACCTTGCCCATCTTGATGCATGAATTGATAGCATCGAGCAACTCAGCCTTTTTTTCCTTTATAGGCACTTCTAACTCCTTCCCTATTAATTCACCTGACTGATAGCCCATTGTGGTTTCAAATGCAGGATTCGCATACTGAAGAGAGACAAAAGAGAAAACATCAAGTGAATTAAAAGTCATTTTGTAAAAAGGACAATCAAGGGCCTTCCACCTAAGCCCTTCATGTTTTTCTCCCAGAAAGCTCAGGCACCTGGACCTCATCATGGTGATTCTAGAGTCACAAGGGCACAATCCCTGAAGAATTCTGGAGCCTGGAGAAGCTTCTGCTTGGGTGACACCTGACTGGTGTTTCTGCCACGTTCTCCTGAAGTTCCAGGAGGACAGAGGAAGGGATATGCACAGGACGATGGCAGTACAAAAGAATAAAGCACCAGACTGGAGTGCAAAACACTCAGGCTCTCCTCCCTGTCCACACACTGTCTGATCCTATAAGTTACTTTATCCCTCCAAGATTCAGTCTGCTCATTTGGATAATGGGAATGAAACATTTCTCTTGCCTATTTATATGGTTCAAATAAATAATGTAGCTGGGCTCGGTGGCTCAGCCTGTAATCCCGTGCCTTTGGGAGGCTGAGGTGAGTGGACTGCCTGAGCCCGTGGGTTCGAGACCTGCCTGGGCAACTTGGCGAGACCTCATCTCTACAATAAATCAAAAATTAGCCAGGCGTGGTAGCGCGCGCCTGTAGTTCCAGCTACTTGGAAGGCTGAGGCAGAAGGATCGCCAGAGCCCAGCAGGTTGAGGCTGCGGTGGCCTCAACTCAAAAAAAAAAACAAAAAAAACCCCAAATAATGTGTGTGGAAAGCAGACTGTGAACTAGGAAGTGTTTACAAATATAAGGTTCTATAGTTAAATTTCAAAGAGGACTATAAGATGAAAAGAAAATACATGGGAAACTATGCGTGTGTTAATGGTGATGATAATGATAAAATAACAATTGATACTATTTATCAAGGTCTGTTTTCCTTGCTAGGCACGATAGAAAACTTCACACACATTAATTCATTTAGTCCTCACAATATCATTACAAAAGGTAGGTTGCTGTTCTTATTAATATTATTCCCATTTGTACAGATGAGAAAGCAGATTCAGTTCAATTAAGTAATTTGCCTAAACTTGCTCAGCTGAAGCAGAATGCAGCCCAGGCTCATCAGACACCAAAGCCTATGCCCTCAATCACTGGCTCATGCTGTCTCTCAGGGCACCAACTCAGTAACAACACCATTAACTCTTAAACCAGGAAGTCACAAGTTACACTAAAGAGAAGGGCTGGAGAATCCAGAAGTAAAATCAAAGAAGAGCTAATTCTCAGACAAAAGGAACATTTTTCATGCACAACTCCTCTTTTGAGGCTATCTAAAAGTACAAGCTATTTGATCTTAAGTCACTCATATCATCCTAATTTGCTAATAATAGGTAACTTATTCAGTAATTACTAGGTCTGTTACTTTTGAAAGCTTTGTTTCTAGCAAATTTTTGTAAATGCAGCCTAGCTTTGAAAATAGGGAGAAAGGTGAAAGGTTGGAAGACCTTATAATCAGAGCATTCCTCCCCACCCCTGCAAGAATAACAGCACTCCCCAACTAGTGAGAAAGGATTGAATGCAAAAGTGGTATTTCTATAGACATTATCTAGCACCTTAATTATTAGTATATTTTCTTATCTTTAAATAAGAAATTAGTATATTTGCTTATCTAATGTAGTTTAAATTACATATTTTACTGATTTTGTTCTGAAAATTCTCTATGAAAAAAACTGATCTTTTAAACATCAAAAAAATTTTTAAAAAACCCATATTGGAGAGCTAAATCCTAAAAATAAGAACAAACAAAACAAGAAATCCAGAAAGGTAAATTTCTAAAATAACAAACCTGTATAATGCGGTCTTCACTTGTAATTTCAATTGCATCTTGACTTTTCTCTAATGCAGTGAATATTGAATGACAAGCCCTTTATGGGTAGACCAAAAAATAACTGATTAATGTAAATATTATAAAATCTAATATAATCTGGGGGTATTACATTAACTTATTAAAATGTGTTTTTGTCATTTATAAGGAAGAAAATATCAAAAAGCATAAAGAATAAAATAAACACCCTGTGCAACCCAACCACTTGAAATCATCACTGTGTACTCTGTGTGTGGTGTATTTCCTTCCAGTGTGAGGAGGCAGTGGGCTAGAGCGATCATACTCCAGAGTCAAATCACATCTCTTCAGCAGCTGTGGGACCTTGGGCAAGTGACTGAAGCCTCTCGAGTCTCCCCCCCACCACCACCACCTAAGCCATTCTTGTGAGGACGAAGTGAGAGAATAGAGTCAAGACAGTACACAGAGCCTGGAAGAGAGGTGGTTGTTCAATCATTTGTAGCTATTATTTTAAACAAATTATTTTCACAAAATTGAGGTCATCTTTCTTCACTTAGTCTTCTGTATTTTCCCATAACCTTAGTGTTTGAAAACATTTTTTAAACTACACAAGTAATAAATGTTTATTTTTAAAAATTAGAACATACAGATAAACAAAAATAAATGAGATACCATATGACATTCACTAGGATAATAAAAAAAGATAATAACATGTATTGGTGAGGAACTCTCATACACTGCTGGTAGGAATGTAAAATAGCACAGCCCCCTTTTGGGAAAACAGTCCTCAAATGGTTAAGCATAGTTACCATATGATCCAGTTATCCTATTCCTAGGTATATACTCAACAGAAATGAAACTACATGTTCACATAAAACTTATGCACAAATGTTCATGGCAGCATTATTCATAAAAGCTAAAAAGGTGGAAACAACCCAAATGCCCACGAGCTGATTATTAGATAAATAAAATGTGGCATATACCTGCAATGGACATTAAAGGACATGAAGTCCTGATATATGCAATATATATTTCAAGGTTCACATGGATAAAACTTGAAAACAGTATGTTTAAGTGATAGAAGCCAGACACAAAGGACCATGTAGTATATGATTCCATTTATATGAAATGTCCATAATTTCAATGTACAGATTTAGTGGTTGCCTAGGTCTGGGGGTAAAGAAAATGTTTTAAAATTGTGGTGACTGCACAACTCTGAATATATAAAAAATCCACTGAATGTATCTCAACTAAGTTGTTTAAAAATAAATTGAGATCAAAGTATCTGACATCCCAACACCTAGACATATCAACTGATGTCGTAGGCATTTTCTTATACAAATCCAAATGTAATGTGTATATTTATATAAACAGATATTGTACAGTTTTATAATCTGCTTTTCTCAATGAACTAAATATAATAATCTTTCCATATAAATAGAGCTCATTATCATTTTTATAGCAATGTAATAATATCCGACATGTAAGGTTATATTTATAATTTATTCAATAAATCCCCTATGATTAGACATTTAAGTTGCTTCTAGGTATTTTTCTTGTATAAGGAATCTCCCAAAGAATAATTTGAAGATTCTCTTGCCTCAGAAATTTTTTTAAAAAAGAAAGCAGCTGCCCGCTTGTTCATAAAGCGCAGAGATAATACTAACTGTAAGAATAACAATGCTTTTATATTATTCCTAGTATTACTAAACTGTTTCACTAAAGAAAACAAAACAGCTTAAGCAATAAAAAATTTGCTCCTTTGCTGGCATGTAAAAATCAAGAGATGGTATGTCAGTACCTCAATGAAGTTATTATTTACAAAAACAATGAGAAGCTCCCTCCTCTGACATAACAAGCTTGGAGGAGATGGATCTGTGAGAAGCCCTACTGGGTTTTGTCATTCCTTTTGAATATTTGCAGATCTGGTAAATAAAAAATGCTAAATCATTTAACTTCTTTGATTATTAGTGAGGCTGAACACCTTTTCATATTTATTGACCATTAATATCTCTTGTGAACTGTTTAAATATATCTTAAAATTTTTTCTACTTGTGTGTTTTCATTTGTTAAGTGATTCATCAGAGTTCTGTGTATTTAGGATAGTAATGTAACATTTGTCATATATGTTACAAGTATATTTTTCCTAGTTTGCATTTATCTAAATTTCTCATATTATTTAAGATTTTTTAAAAAGTGTAGACCACTTAACATTTTTTATGTTGGCTAACCTGATTCTCTCCCTTTATGGAATTTGGTTTTTAAGCCATGTTTAGCCTAAAAAGACTTCATCATCCAATTACATATGTCCACTTATATTTTTTAGTACTTATGTAGCCCTACTTTTTTGCGCTTAAGTTTTTATACTTAAGTCACTGGAATTTATTTTGGGATAAGATATGAGATTGGGATATAACTTAATTTTCTTTCTAACTAGTTAACCCATTGTCACAATTCTATTCACTGAAAAGTACACCCTCTCCCATGTTGATTTAAAATGCATGCTGACATACTAAATTCTTTTTTTTTTAATTTATTTATTATAAAAATGTGGGGTACAACTCAGGGTTATGTATACAAATATTGATCATGCAGGTACCTTTGTTGATGAGGTATGCCCCTCCCTCTCCTAGCAGTTTCCACCAACTGCCAGTCCCACCCTCCCTTCCCGACAGTTTTCTGCTACTGCCAATTGCTTTCTTATAGCATTATAATTGTTCAAGGTCACCTTATGAGTGAGAACATATGGACTCAGTTCTTTGTATCTGTGATAAATCACTGAGTATGATTGACTCCAAATCCATCCAATTTGCTGCAAAGTCCATATATTTGTCCTTCTTTATGGCTGCATATAAATTCTTAAGTACATTCAAGTCTTGTTTCTAGAATCTACATTCCAGTTTACTAGCCTAACAGTAACACTGAGTTGCTTGAGAGTTTTTCGCTGCATTTTAATATCCAGCAGGACAAGTCTATTTCTTCCAATACTCGAGTCCCACATTTCCCTTCCTTTCCTATTTTTGTATCTCCCTGTAAAATGAACATCTCCATTTGGCTGTCAGTTGGTGCAGAGAACAAAGCAGGCCATGATGGGAGATGAGAACAGAGAGTAGCCATATTGTAGGCTACATTTTGAATATTATCTTGAAAGCAGTAGAATGCCAAAGAATAGGAACACAAATGGGATTATGTGTCCCTTCCATGAAAAGAAGGAAAAAGGAGTCAAGACTGGATTATAGGGGACTGATGGTTTCAATAATCCAGGAAAAAGAAGAAAGTGACCTGGCTGGGTGCAGTGGCTCACACCTAATTCCAGTGCTTTGGAGAGTCGAGGGAGGAGGATTGCTTGAGTCCAAGAGTTCAAGATCAACCAGCCTAGGCAACATAGTGAGACCTTATCTCTACAAAAAAATTTTTAAAATTAGCTGGGTATGGTAGTGCATGCCTGCAGTCCCAGCTACTGGGAAGGCTGAGGTGGAAGGATTGCCTGAGTCCAGGAAGTCAAGGCTACAATGAGCCATGATCATGCCACTGTACTCCAGCCTAGGCGACAAAGTGAGACTCCCAACTCCAATCATTTCACATTAAAAACAATAACTCTGGTTATGGTGGCTCATGCCTGTAATCCCAGCACTTTGGGAGGCCAAGGAAAGAGGACTGCCTGAGCCCAGGGGTTTGAGATCAGCCTGGGCAACTTGGTGAAGCCTTGTCTCTTCAATAAATCAAAAAATTAGCCAGTCATGGTGGCGTGTGCCTGTGGTTCCAGCTACTTGGAAGGCTGAGGTAGAAGGATCTCCTGATCCAGATGGTCAAGGCTGCGATAGCTGTGATTGTACAACTACACTCCAGCTTGGGTGACAGAGTGAAATTCCAACACAAAAACAAAAGATTAAAAAAAAACCAAAAACCTGTTTATCAATAGTAAATTGTAAAAGGCTTATTGTAAATAAGAAAAAATGTCACATACCAGAGATAACCAATGTTAACAGTTTGGTGTATGTATATATTAAAAGTGTTTTGTCCCCTAAAAAACAAAACAGATAACCCAGTATCTACAGTTTTCTACTTTGCTTTTTGAAACTTACTTCCTATTATTTTGAGGCCCCATCTTTTTTTTTGAGTTGGAGTTTCTCTGTCGCCCAGACTAGAGAGCAGAGGCATACTCTCAGCCACCGCAGCCTCGACCAGCTGGGCTCAGGTGATCCTTCTGCCTCAGCCTTCCAAGTAGCAGAAACAACAGGCACGCACCACCATGCCTGGTTAATTTTTTAAATTTATCGTAGAGATGGGGTCTTGCCAAGTTGCTCAGGCTGGTCTCAACCCCGTGGGCTCAGGCAATCCTCTTACCTTGACCTCCCAAAGTGCTGGGATTATAGGCATGAACCACTGCGCCTGGCCTGTGGCCCTATCTTTAAATGTGAGTCTCCAATCACTAACACTTCTATCACTAATGTGATAGAGTCTTCTATCACTAATGTGATCCAGGCAGTCTAGAAAGTCTGTCTGAGGAGAGTTGCCACTTCACCCCCTACAATCCCATTTCAGCATGAGGTCAGTTATGGCCAAAAAGTAAACCCTACAACCAACGTTCCAACTTGCCACGCTGCCCTGTGTGGCCTGGAGGGCTTTCCAAAAGTGGTAGATTTACCTGAGTTTGAGCTGTGATCGCACTTCTCCAAACTCCAGCTGGAGCAGCTCATTGTAGCAGGCCATAATGTTGGGGTTTTCTACATATCTCTACAAAAGAAGGGAAGTAAAGGTGATTCTTTCAATGGTTATGTAAGCCAATAAAAATAACCCTTCTAAAAATACTTCTTAATTTGAGAACTGAAATCTAAAAACTACTTTGTTATCAGGAATGATTCACAAGATATGAGAAAGAAAATTTGGGGATACCAAATTAGCTTTTTAAAAAATGAGATTCAAGCATGCTTTTCTTTCAGTAACTTGGATTAAGAGAATTTTGGTTGTTTCATGTCAATGATTAAGCAGAGGCTAGAATATGAACAGGAGGAAATTAAAGTCCTATTTACATTAGGTTTTCAGAGTATATTCAAGATAATATTTTGTCCTCTTTAAAGTCATACAAGCTCATGGTAAGCAAAATATGCTTGCATTTCTATTTGCACCTGTATTTCACAGAGGGAACCCCCACTGGGACAGCATTTTTCTAAACTAACTTCCAACAGTGACTCAACAAAGCTAGCAGATGATTATCTTCCACAGCAGAGGTATCGACAGAATCCATGGATTTGCCCAGTGTCTCTTACTGCTGTGGACATTATTTTGTATAATAACCTTTACATGATGGAAACATCTCATGACAGCAAATTACGTAGTTCTAAGAAGATGGACCCATTCTACCATCAAATTATGTATTCCATGAAGACATTTTACCAGTCACCACATGCTACTGTACACTTATTCAGCAATGTAAATATCTGTGAGCATTACTCCCCACTATTTCTGTGAAGAGCTCTTTGCTTTTTACCTGCACAATAAATAGAGAATACTCACCTGGCTGAGGCCTAAGAGGTAGGACCTTTGCAGGCCATTCTCTATAAGCCCCAGCCAGACCAATCTGGGACATGGGGCCCCTCAAGGAGTTCCCTCTACTGCTATGGTGAAGGTAGATGTTCTGTTTGAACAGTGATCAGGGTCTTGTCTTGGAGTCAAGCAACCTAAAAACCCAGCCCTAGGTTCATGCCATAAAAGCTGTGTGATCCTACATGAGGCATCTAACCTTCCTGTTCCAGCCCACCTCAGAACACTTTGAGAATAAAGAGAGATGACTCTAACCACAAACTGCTGCACAATGTAAAGAACAGCTATTGCCAACTGCAAGAGAGAAAGCAAGGCCTGCTGGCCAGAGGCATGATGGTCCCCATACCTGTAAGCCAAAACACAACACCCTTCTCACCTCCGGCAGAGGTGACATGCCTGCCAGCTCCCACCGAATGAGTGGGGGAAATGAGCTAGGTTGCTGCCATACCTCAGTCAGCCAAGAGCACCCGAGAACTCTGCCGTTCTACACAGGAACCCACTGCTTGCTGCAGGGACAGGGAAGAGATATTTCTAGGCATAGTGTTTGTGCTACTCCAGCAAGACAAGGAGTGGGGCTCTTGAGGCAGATAGGGCCCCCAGCTCCACTGCAGGTGAGATCTTGAGATGGGGGAGTGGCATGTGTATTTATTCAATTCCACAAATGGCCTCCTAATCATATAACAGGATTTTTTATTGAGTATTAAGTGTTATATATCCATCAAACTTTTTTTACTCCAAAGGCGGAAATCCAGGTAAAAAAAACTAGCACATGTGGTCAAACATGTAGCATCCTGCTCCCACTGTTTTCCATCCCCCTCATTACCGCTGCTTTGCTCTGTGCATCTAAACATTGTTCTGTGTGTCTGAACATCTCATTTTTCCTGCCCCTATTCAACTTGCATTTCTGTCGCAAGGAGAGTGAGGAATCAGGTCCAGGGATCCTCAGAAAGTAGGCTTCTATTCCCTCTGCTTAAACAGCAATGAGTCTCCTCTCCTTAACCCCCTCCATGAGGTGGCTGAGGCTACATACACATCTCACAGACTTCTGAGCTGACTCAACCTCACTTTCTCCAAAGCATATTACATCCATTGCTAGGACATAAACCCCACCCTGCTAGGCCTCACCCAGGGGTTCTCACTCTTGGCTGTTTATTAGAATTACCTGCAATTTGAAAAAATGCCAAAATGCAGGTCTCTCCTCAGACCAACTGAAACAGACTCTAGGGATGCTCTTCAAGAGATTCGAATGCACACTCAGCAATGAGGGACACCAAATTCCAATCCTAGCAAATGCTCAATGGCCAAATCCAACTGCAAAGGCAAGTAGGTCCTCCATCCACTTTTGAACTAATCCACAAAATAGCTCACTGCCCCCCACCCCGATACCAGAGCTCATATAGTAGTGTTAACTTTCAGGTTCAAGTTTTGGCACCACTGCCTACAAGTCTTGAAACTTGGGAGAATTCCCTTCCCTCTAGATCTATTCATTTTTCTCTGTAACCTGAGCACTCTTTGTCACACGAAGGTAAGGAACCGGTATCCCATTTGGATTCCTCACCTACAAATTGATAAGCCTGCCACCACCTCCACATTTCCCAAGTCAGGTCCCTCTAAAGTGACTATTGTAAAGCTTTTGGGCTTTATGCATAGAAATATCCTCACGGGGCCTGCACTGAAATATGGTTCCAGCAAGATCTTCAGGGGACACCTTGATTAAGTAGTATAGGCATTAGGGCAGAAAGAGAGTGTGTGTGCAGACTGCTTTTGAATTTTCAAGTTAGCTCCATGATAATTCAATAATACTAGAAATATACAAGGACAGTGATTTACTAAACCTTCTACCAGGATATTCCTTCCAGTGCACAGAATTTCAGAACACAGTACTTACCAAACATACAAATTTCCAACACTGCATCTATGCACTTTCAAAGAGACCTCATACAAATACATAGCTTAATGACCTTGGGTAGCAAATAATCCCTCCCCTAGGTTTCGTTAGAAAGTGGAAGTTTCTAAGGTCCTTGCAAAAAGAAATAGCATTTTGCAGCCTCAGCTATAAAAGCCAGCAAGCTTAGGGAGAGATGATCTAAAGATTCAGAAAGTGGAAGTTTCTAAGGTCCTTGCAAAAAGAAATAGCATTTTGCAGCCTCAGCTATAAAAGCCAGCAAGCTTAGGGAGAGATGATCTAAAGATCCGTCAGGAATAGGGGACCTATGAATTTCAACTTGATTCCTTGCTTAAAGGATCCCTCACCTTCATGCTGACTAAGTACATTGCTCCCACACAATTTATAGCTTACTGAAGATCAGGGAATGGGGGCAGGTGCTGATATTTGTATATATTGTGGAGACTGTCAAAACATGGGGAGAAATGCAAAAAAGCCACAACTATGTAATAATAATAACCTAACATGTGAATACTTTCACTGCCCACCCTTGTTTTGTGTCTCCTAGAGAAGCCCTTGAGAATGTTTGTGTCTTCCTCCCAAGCACTGCAAGCACCTAGGGTTGGCTAAATAGTCTAGAATTTAAAACTGAGCTGTTATTAAAATTTCTCTTTGGGTATGTCCCTTTTTCAAAAAGAATATTATATATTCTAGTCTATATTTATCCTTTTGGAACTAATTTTACACATAGACAGACTAAGCACACACACATGCATAGTTGTCCATATATAAAGAAGGAAGGAGAGCCAGAGAAAGCGAAGGCAGCATGGGGGAATGTGCACATGCAGGGTTCACTGCTCATTGCTTTTCCTTCTCTCATCTTCCCTCATCTTGAAGTTTCTGTTCTCCCTTGTTTCTTGTATGTTTATAGAATCCTTTTCTTAATTATTTTCCTCAGATGGGGCTCTTAGGGAAATATATCTCTACGTTCTATGTATATCCCCTAAAGAAATGGCTTTCTTTTGTTCCGAAAGGTGAACAGTCACATGGCTAAGTATATCATTAGGTTGCAGTTCTTGTCTCCCTGCCTTCTCTTATCAAGTTAGATACTATTATTACTATTTTACACAGCAAATATGTATATATATGTCCCATATGCACCATTTTTTCCCCCTCTTTATTCCTTGCATTTCATACCTTCCACCTGGGATTTACATTCCTTCTGGATGAAGTGTATTCTTTAGAATTTCCTTGTGAGGATCTGCTAGCTACAAATTTTCTCAATGTCCATATTTCTGAAAGTCTTTATTTCATTCTCAGTTTTGAAAACTATTTATGCCTGGTATAAAATTCTAGGTTGGAAGTTATTTCCTTTTATTTCATCTCATTGAAAATACTATTCTACTCTGTTCTGTTTTCCATTTGCTGCTGCTAGAGGATAGCTTTTAGTCTGTCATTCTTTTGGTAATCTTTTTTCTCTGGCTAATTTTAAGGTCTCTCTCTCTCTCTCTCTCTCTCTTTTTCTTGCAGTTTCACTAAGATGTGTCTTTTTTTTAATTTACTCTACTTTGGATTTGTTGAATTTTGTAGGTTAGTCCTTCATCAGTTCTGGAAAATTCTCAGTCACTAAACTTTCAAATATTTCCTCTGTCCCATCCTTCCTCTTCTCCTTCAAGAACTCCAAACATATATATTAAACCTTCATATTCTATCTTCTGCATTTCTTATCCTCTCTGACTTATTTTCTATCCTTGTATCTAGGTGCTACACATGACTTGTAAGTTTTTAAAATGTAGGATTATTGTGTTTTTATTTCTCAAAATTCAATTTTGATCTAAATTATAAAATTTGCTGTGTCACTTTTAACAGTTTCCTATTCCTTGCAGATATTTCCAAGCTTGTCTAATATTTTATTTCTTTATATATAATCAGCATGCTTGCATTATAATTCATGTCTGATAGCTCTAACATCTGAGAAGTGTGTCTATTTCCTGGCAGATTGGTCAGCTTTGATTGTCTGCTGCCTTGAATGATTATCTGTGGATATTTGCTGAGGCCAAAGATGAAGTTGTCTTCCTCTGAGGAGGATTTGTACTTGCTTCTGCCAAGCATATAAGAATACTAGCTATCCAGACCGTTTAAATTCATGGCTTGAGGTTTTCTGACTACCTTGCTGATACAAATCCAGGCTACAACTCTGCCCAAGGGTCAGCCTTACTTAAATTCTCTCCATGATGATTCCTAAGGCCTCGTTTACAGCCTGCTGACCAGAACCCCAGAAACCTTTTGGTGTAGAAGAAACCAACAGATTGAAGATGAGGATAGAGAGAAAAGGAGCAATGTTTGGGTTGCCTTATTTCCAAAATCCTTGGACTGGCTTAAAAAGTTGCATGCATACAAGTCTGCATTATAAAAATATATCATCTACTATAATTTTTAATGAGTATATTATTAAAGGAGATTTCATTATGTTTGGACGTTAGCAGGAATGGTTTTGAGAAAGTAAGAAAGTGAGGTGTTATAGATTGATTAACATGTTAAAAAGTTAAACCAAACTCTAATACAGCATAAGGACAAAAATTTTTTTTTCTTCAAATTAATTCAAAACTTTGCTGGGCACTAACAGATATAAAACAATTTCTTACATTAAATTATACTTACAAAACAAAGAAATGGGTACATACCCTTGTAAATCCAGCAGCAATGAAGGGCATTACAGACAATTCTTTATCCGTCCTTCAAAAGAACATAGTAAAGAGTTAGACATAGTTTTTATCAATCATATCTCTTTCACTAGTTACTAATTTAAATAATACTTTGTTTTATAATGAGTACTTTCAGATGAGTTAGAGTAATATACAAATTTAAAGTATGAAGTTTAGCTGGGCGTGGTAGCACGCGCCTGTAGTTCCAGCTACTTGGAAGACTGAGGCGGAAGGATCACCAGAGCCCAGCAGGTCAAGGCTGCAGTGGCCGGGAGCGGTCACTGCACTCCAGTCTGGATGACAGAGTGAGACTCCAACTCAAAAAAAAAATATATTAAAAAAATAAAGTATAAAGTTGAAAATTGTTTTTTGTTTCAATTTCATATTTCGCTTTTTGGCAGTATATATAATAATACTTGAATTAACAGCCAGAATACAGAAATGTCCATACATCTATTTCATATGTAAAAAATTTTAATTTAACCTAAGTTAAATTCTCTGTTTTCTTCTACTTCCGGTTTTTTTTAAATTGTCTTCTCCTTTATGGCTCAGAAAAATAGTTTAAAGGCTACAGAAACAGTTTTTATATCTGTAAAGACATATAAGCTAAATAATATTTATTTGAATACTTGTCCTCCTCTTTACATATTTCTCTTCTCTCCTTATCTCCAATTTAAGGATGAATATAAGATTCCCCCCATTTATATGTAATTCAAATCCTCAGAGTTTGGAGTTAGAAGACCCTAGGAAGACACTCCTGGAAAAGATTCCATATTTTTAGGAATGGAATTCTCTCACGGTTTACCTATTTCTAGAGCAAAAGACAGTTTAAAATCATAAAAGTAAAACCTAGCATGAGAGCAAAAAGTCTCTCTAGGAAAGTTAGCGGGAGAAGCAAGATAAGAAAGAATAAAAAGAACAGGCCAAACTACAAAGGGGCATGTCTGTTACAGCATGCAAGCTGTTATTTGGCCATCTGTTAAGGACAAGTATTACTCCGACACCTGAATTTCAACATAAAAAAAAAAAAAGTTTACCTGCGTACTACACCAACAATAACTGTGTTTTCTGAGAATTTTGATGATCTGATAGACCTTTAAAAAAAAACACATAATTTAAAAATAAATATAAGAATAATTCTTAAAAAACAAATATTCTTAGACAATTTAGGAAGAACAATTAAAGTTGGAAGAAGAGGAGAAGGGAGAGTAAAAGATCCCCTCACACTCTAAATTCGCCTTCTTGGCTACTTTGAACTTTCTCTCTTCTGAGGTCAAACCTGTAATCAGTAGACTATGAGAAGCACAACTATTAGGGAGGATGAATGTTAACAGCTAACTGAGATACTTTCTACTTGTTCTGGGCTGTGTTAACTTATATTGTTTAAGGTGAAATATTTCCCCCACTTTCTGCTTACATGATAGGGGCTGTTCATCTCTTCTTCCAAAGGTTAACTTAAGTTTATGTTTATTACCACAAGGTGATGTCTATGTTTTAGTGGGGATAAAGGTGCCCAAGGATTGGTTCTTTAACTGTATTCTTAACAGCACAAAGTATGAAGAGTTCCTAAGTAAAATGAGGCTAAATTAACAACAACAACAAAAATTCACAATTAGGAAATGCAAGCTATTATTATCAGTCAGAAAGAAGAAAACCCAAACCTGATAGAAAAGGTTAAGAACGGAGGACTGGTTGAGAAAAGTAGAAGACACCGCTCCACTAAGTTACTCAAGGAGTATGAGGCTCCCCATAGACTGAATTTGGCCTTTCTGGAAAAGCAGCTTTAAAGGTCATGAGAAATGAAAATACAGCCAAAGATCAGAAATAAATGTGACAGAGTAGGAGAAAGCAAAGAAAGTGCTCCATTGGAGATACATAGCAGTTCTGAACTCATCTTATACTGAAAGAAACCAGGTCACACGAGGAGGAAGGAATTCAGTTCCAGACCCAGAGGAAGAAGACCCACATTGGAGAGGGACTTTGAAAGGAAAGGAGTGGAGAGGACTGTACCCAGACTGCCCCAGTCAAGTCAGAGTATACTGGCCTCCTGGAAAATGTGTCCAGGATGAGCCAAGCCACATTTGCTTCAGTTGTTAGTTGAAGGAAGAGAATCATTTCTGAATCACAGAATACAGAAAATAATGAGTGACTATTTCTCAACTCTCCCAAAGACGGTATATAACATAACCATTCCAGATGCATGAGATTCGTCATACATCATGGATGCCCCAATCTTGGCAAAGTTTTTCTGGAAAGGGCCAGAGAGTAAATATTGTAGGCTTTGCGGGTCATATGGACTCTGTCACAAGTACTCAACTCCTCCACTATTGTAGCACAGAAGCAGTCACACACAATACACAAATGAATAGCCATGACTGTGTTCTCCTTTGCCCACCACCCCTGCCTCCGGGTATTTGGGCTTAATTTTCTTGTGGAATCCCAGGTTGAGAAAGGCTTAGAATCACCAACAGATGCAGAATAGGCCAGGAGTAGGGAAGTTGCTGAGGAATGGAAAAAGCAGCTCTGCCAGTGTCCCTCATGGGCACGCTGCTCATCTGTCCTCCACCCTCTCAACACTTCTGCTCTTTCCAGTGTCCACACTGTACTCCTCCACCTACCATCTGCCTATACTCTCCGGAGGGAGCCCACTTAAATAGGCCACTGTGGGGTTTGCTTGCCTGGTGCCAATTTCCAGTCCAATCCCAGTCTCCCTTCCTGGAAAATAGGCAGGCTCAGTTTCCTAGGGAAAAGCCATGGGAGGGGCTGCTTAGGCCTGGAGGGGTTTCTGGCACAGCAAATACTCACAGACAAAGCCAGTGCACTCACCGCACCTGATGACTAATTTTCATCCTAGCACTAATCTCAAACAGGGAATAAGACACATGACTCACAAACGGTATTTCCATGACTTCTAGGGACACTGTATTTGTTTTGTGTTTATGTTTCCATCATATCACAGAGATCTGGAGGGAGGAAAGGCAAATTTAAGTATGCAGTCAACCATCTCAAACCAGCTCTCTGTTTTTTAGAAGAAAAACAGAGATCTGAGCAGTGTATTGTTAAGTAGGCAACTACGCAGATGATCTTAGTAAGAAGCTTTGGATGACCTACCCATATATGGAATATAAGAATACAGGAATGAGAGACATTGCACTAAGGATGAATTAGAAGGGAAGACCCTGTTTACCTGAGAGAAGCCCTTAACAAGAGCTCTAAAACTGTATAAAAAGGCAGAGACATGATCAGGACTTTTCTGGTGCCCAAGAAGAAAGAACTGGCTAGAAAATAGAAATATCAGGAACCCAGGTTGAAAGATAACATCCTTACTTTAAAGTTCATGAAAACTAGAAAAAAATGACATAGTCAAAATGTATACCTAGATATTAGGAAGGCAGATTTCAAGAAGGTCAGAAAAGATGGAGCATGATCTTATAGCATGAGATTGTGAAAGTGTGGAAAGCTCTTAAAACCACACTTCCTGGCTTATCATGAGGACTGGATCTGTCTACACATGACAGAAAACACCAAAAAATAGTGGCCTAAACAATAGCCATCTCACACATGAAAGTGTGCAGAGGGACAGTCCAGGCTGACACAGCAGTCTGCAGGATCAGGAACCTGGCTCCTACCTTGTGTTTCTCTATTATCTGTACATGGTTTCTTTCTCATGATCCAAGATGGATGTTGAAAGCTAGCTATAATGTGCACATTCCAGATAGTACTGGAAAAAGGGCATACTCATTCCTTTCAAAGATACTTTCCAGAGAATACACATGATAGTTCCACAGGCCAGTTGCAAGAAAAACTACGGAACGCAATCTATTTTCTAGGTGGCGTATGCCTGGTTAAACACCAGAAATTCTGTTATTAGGAAAAGAACAAAAGTGGGTCCGGTCCTGTAAGCAATCGCCAGACTCAAGGTACTCTAGGCAACTACAAATAATTCTGACGATGGTCTTAGCACAATACTGGAGAAAAGCCTGCATGATGGGGCTCACCATAAGAGCATATAGCAAAGCCCTTTAATGAGTTAAATTTTACAAAAGCACAGCTCCATTACCTGCACTTTGCCACTGCTCTCTGCCATACAGAATGAGTTTCAGATAGAAAAGAATGGAATTTATAGTGGTAAAAAGGATCTGCAGACCAAGGCACATCAAGAAATTATATGAAAGCATCTAGCACACTGAGTTCAATTTTCTGCATTTAACATGGATTTTAATTCTGTTAATGCATTTTGGGTTTTCAAGCACTGCTTTCCTATTTCCTCCATATTTCTTTATGAAATCTTCCCTTTTATTGTAGAGTTCTACTCCTATTACACAAAGAAGTATTTCTTTACCTCTTCTGAGTACACTAAGCACATGTCTTCTAAAAGGTTCTTCAGTTTCTTATAATAAAATAAAAATAGCTCCTTAGTCTTTAGGGCTATTCCCCCTTCACTATGCTGTGGCAGCTTTTCACAGGTCCCCTTCTTTATCCTGTTCACTCACCCTTGAATGGGAGTAACATCTATGCAGGCTGAGAGTTTGCCAATAAAGAGGATCAGAAGAGTTTCCTCAGCACCCCTTCGCTGGACCCTTGGACAAGTGTCAGCAGTTGTTCTCCTCTTAGCCTGGGCTGCAGATCAGGTCAACAGGCCTGATCAGGTCAGGCTTGGAGAGCACTGCCAGCAGGCATGCACGGGTCTGCTGCATATAGTGGGCTTCTGGCCTGCTCTTTCTTGTTCTCAAACTAAACCCGAGAATTGACACAAGTTGCTGTTTCAAAATTGCAGTAGGTAGAGGACTGTCCTCAGGCTCCTCCATGCCTCTGTCCTTTCTTATGACATGGCAGAAGAAACCATGTCTCTGTCCATCTCCCTCTGCTCCTTGTCTTGGGTTTCTAAGTAGAGGTAGAAAGTAAAGAATGAGGGGGCAGCAGGGTCTGGAACGCAGGCCTACGGCCAGCTCACAAAGTGCTTCTGCTCCGCTAGGGCTCAGTCACTGTTTCTCTGGACAGTGCAACTTTAGCACCCAGGCTCAAGAGAACACAGGGGAAGTGAGGCAAAGCCCCTTCCCATGGCTTTGATTTAGGACACTGGAACTTCAGCTTTAAGGTCTGAAGTACACAGGCTTATTAGTCCCCACAGGACAACAGATACAGCAGGAATCCCTATCTTTTTCTATTCTCTTAGTTTCTCACCTATCAGCTTTTTTTTTTTTTTTTTTTTTTTTTTGCTGTAATCCCCTTTTGCCTTTTGCCTCTTCATGGGTTTTGACAGGAAGTTAGGAAGAGGCACTAATATCAAGTACAGCACCAGACGGCCTCTAACAGCCTCACAACTGGTCGACTTGCCTCAGGTTCTTCCATCTTCCACTCCATTCTCCACTTGGCAGCCAAAGGATCCTCTATTCTGCTCTTGACACTCCCTGCACAGGATACACCAGTATCTCAACTACCTATAGGCTGCAATCCAAAGCCTTGGCTCAGTATGCAAGGCCTTTGTGATGTGGTTTACACCTGCCGCTCCAGGTTCCCCTGAGCCCCATTCCATTCCCACCTGACTAGAAGCCATCTAACACAGAACACAGGTGCCCAGACACCCTGCCTGTTCCTACTCAAGCTACTCCCTCTATGGGGAATGTTTTCTCCCCTTCAAGACTCCTGCTCATCCTTCAGAACCAAACCCAAATATCCTCCATGAAGCCCTCTCGGAAACAGGCACCGACAGCACCCTGCAAAATCCTCCTCTGGGCACTTACAAGCCTATTATAAAATCATTCACTTGATCTGCCCACTAAAGCATTAGCTCCTCAGAAACAAAAACCACATCTTATTCATCTATGTAGCTCTAGTACTAAATGCAGTGCCCAGACCTGAAAGGACCTGCAAAGCAGGGTTCCTAAACTGGTGGATTTGGAAATACAGCAGATACAAAACACTTGGCTTTTAGCAAAGCATCTCATAACGACTGTATGGAGTTCCAAATGCCCCCAGTAGAGATATAAATGAATGCTACCCATTCAAACAGGTTTGCAACTGATTAAAACTTCTTTACAGGTAGTGTTGGCTAGGTATCCCAAAAGGGAGGATGAAGAGAAGAATAGAGTTCTCCAGGGCTTAGGTCTCACGAGCCACGCATGTTTGCTGAGAGAAAGGACAAGCTGTTCAGGATGGGGAGCCCAGAAAGAATTCTTGAACAGTCTACAGTGGGCAGACATCCTTAAAGGGATGATCCTAAGGGAGATAAACCAGGTAAGGCCAGAATGAAGACAACACTTTGGAAAATACATCAGGGCCTGCTCTTGCCTCTATAAATACTACGAATAGCACTATGAACAGCACAAGGATCCTGCCTCTCACCTCCTCAGTCTTCACCTAACAAGATGGAGGTGATGTAACAGAACACAGCTAGCAAGAAAGACTTAAGATTCTTATTCTTGGCCAGGGCTGTGGCATGACCGTCAGGAAAACATCATCATCAGGGATTGCAACTGTAAAGGTCTATTCTCTGGCTAGTACAGGAGAGAGGGCTGTTCTGATTACTCTTCACTGGTCCACCCAAACCTTGTGTGAGCTTTTTAGTTCTGGAGCCATACTTACAAGGACTACCAACTGGAAGAGAGACGCAGAGGAAGCACTCCTAACAGGGTTAGGATATGAAGCCACAGTCTGTGAGGAGCTGCTGATAGCAGTAAGAATGTGCTCAATCCAGAAAAGAGAACATATCTTGGGGGAATACAATTCCTGCCCTCAAATGTTGGAAATTCATTCTGGAGAAGAGGAACAGCACTGCTTTAGCTACCCTGTGGGTCAAATCAGGACAATACTGGCCTCTACATGAAGGAGAACTTCCAGAACTCAGGGCTTCCACTGAGTGAATCCCAGGTCCCCAGCAGAGGCTGGATGGAGGCTGGCAGGTACTTTACAGAGGAGATGCACACCTGACAGACTATACTTCTCTAAACCACATACTAAAGCAATCCAGGCCCCATTCTTTACTCAAAAATTGTATACAGTTGTTATTTACAGGATGACAGAACTCTGATTAACTATGATGCTTATAGAATTTGGTCTTTGTGTAAGTTTTTAACTGAGGATGATGAAACATTACTTTTTCATTTAAATACTTCAACTTCTCTAGTCTTGTAAAACATAAGCACTTCATTTAGTTTATTACTTTCAGTCTAGAAAATTCCCTTGTACACAACTCAATACAAATTTGCTGAATGAATTAATCTTATTTATTTAGAATATTCTTAAAATATGTAACAATAATACATTTTCCTCCCTTAGATGGTGGAGCATAATTTATGTTACGTATATTTTGTCACAATTTTCAAAAGCGGAGTATAACTAATACAATGTAATTTTTCTTTTATAAGTACAAGCTGATCTAGAAGAGTCAGCTTCATGGGTATGAGTTGCCATTATCCAGCACATATGTGTGCTGGGTTTGGACCTGAATAAGACTGGGAAAGAGGACAAGTTTTCCTCAGCATCTTACTTCCTCCTCACCTTTTCTATCTTGGCAGCCATTTGGCCTACCTTAGATTACTCTCCTGCTTACAAATTCTACTCAGACTACTAAGCACCACATAGACATTAGATATTTTCTTCCTTTCTTCTTAATGATATCCACTGATTTTTAAGGATAGAAGGGATATTGGAAACCACGTTCCAGATTTATAGCTGAGCTAAAACATCCCCACAGAAGGGAGAACATTACCCAGAGAGATCAAAGACAAGCAGCTAGAACCTGAACCCCCTTCCACTCTGTCCAGAGCTCTCTCCCAGTTTTCTTGGTCTCCCTCGTGGATGTGCTAGGTAACTGGACAGATGACGTGTCAAAAAATCTGATCTAGTGATAATGCCTTGTTGCAGAGTCAGCCAGATTGAAAGAGGCAAGGAACACAGGCACTAGAACAAGGCCATGGGGAAACGTTACTGGAGGCAAATCACACTACTGTGAAAGCTACCTAGTCTGATTATCAGAAACGTGGGTTCTCACCACAAAGAAAACAAACGTATGCTGACATTACCACGAACACTGCCAACAATCTTTTCATACAATGTCATTTGCTTGTCACCACAGTTTTATACTTGTTATATTTGTCTTAAATATTTTCTCTCTTAAAAGTCAAGATTTTAAATATCCTTAAAATTAATATGCTATAAAATTTTACATTATATTTGCCTTGCTTCCATCAGCAGCAAATAACTTTCTTTTAAAAGTACTTTTTAAAGATTAAGGTCTGCAGCCAGGCACAGTGGCTTAAGCCTGTAATCCCAGTACTTTGGGAGACTGAGGCAAGAGGACTGTCTGAGCCCAGAGGTTCTAACCAGCCTGGGCATCTTGGTGAGACTTCATTTCTATAATAAATTTAAAAAAAGAATTAGCCGGGCACGGTAGTGCGCATCTGTAGTTCCGTCTACTTGAAAGGCTGAGGCGGAAGGATAGCCTGAGCTCAGCAGATGGACGCTGGAGTGGCCGTGAGCGTACCACTGTACTCCTGTGCGACGGAGTGAGACTCCAACTCAAAAAAAAAATTAAGGTCTGCTACCCAGAATTCTCTCATGATATTGAAATTCTGTAAGCGTTATAAATAAGACATATGTATATAACATTAGAAAACACTTTTTCAAAATTTTTAGAGCTTTAACAGTCTGGAAAATTGTCATTCTTGTTGTAATAATATGCAGATGAGAGTTGTGGTTAATTACATATTGAGTTTTCCCATCACCCTTAATGGTTCTTATTCATGTTTTCTTACTGTTTTTTGTTTGTTTGTTTTAGTTGGAGTCTCACTCCATTGCCTAGACTGGAGTGCAGTGGCACGCTCTGGGCCGCCGCAGCCTCGACCTGCTGGGCTCCGGCTATACTTCTGCCTCAGTCTTCCAAGTAGCTGGAATTACAAGTGCACGCTACCATGCCCGGCTAATTTTTGATTTATTGTAGAGATGAGGTCTCACCAAGTTGCCTGGTGGGTCTCGAACCCGCGGGATCAGGCAATCCACTCACCTCGGCCTCCCAAAGCACTGGGATTCTGAGCCCGGCCTTCTTACTGTTTTAAGCAGAGTAAAGCAAAGACAAAAGAGATAAAGATCAGTTCCAGAAATACTGAGGTTCTAATGTCCTGCTTATTTTATATGCGTGAATGTCAACTTAAATAGAGACTTAATCTATTTCCAGGCTGCATTTACTGTCACAAAGGCCCACAGGACTAATTAGTACCAAGTCTCAGGCTCACCTGCACAGTGCCTCTGCATCCAGCTGTCGAGGATTTCTGTGGTCTATGATGATGATGTCATGATGTTTGTCCATGAAACAGGCAAGGACAGCCTGAGTCTCCTTGGTGACTGTACACTTAAACCCTGCTTTTTCACATGCCTTGCAGAATCCATTACACTGGTTATCTTCTTTGGTAAACACTAAAAGTACCTGAATCAAAAGAGCACAAACACTTTTTTAAAAAAAGATGTTAAAATTGTCATTTCTTAACAAGCCACAGAAAACTCCCAATTATTTTCAAGGCGAGGACACAGATGTAACCTTATTAATCTGTCAATATAAATCTTCTCCTACATATAACTCAGGGACAGGATCACTCAGTACTCCCTGCCCTGTCCCCCCAACCCCCTTCCCTTCCCCCCAAGTCAGTGCTACTTTCTATCTGCTCTTGGTTGGAAAGACCAAGCGTAGGGATCATATACCTACTTGTTTTGCTAATAAACCCATTGGAGAACTCAACAGAGGTTTGATTACCATTTTATCTTAAAACTAAATGAATTAAAACATACAAATATTTATTTTAGCTAACAAAGTTAATTGGATAAATCTGGCAAGTGCTAACACCTCAGTGAAACGACTGGAACATTTAACCCTTTAAACAACGTTTAAATTTAAATGTTTGACTCCAGATTTTATGTAATTCCTCCAAGTTTTAAAAAAAATCACTTCAATTAAAAGAGGAAAAATGTAAAGTAGACCAAAATGTTACATTTCAAAGCTTGCCACTTAAGTGATACAAGAACAGCATCAGATCCAAGAGGCAGCATCTGTGCCCCAGCTCAGGACAGTAGCTGTCAATCCTGGCGCCTGGCTCAGATCAGGTAAGTCCTGGCCTAGATCAAGTGAGGCCTGGATCTGCTGCCTCTGTCCTATCCAGGCAGCCCCCTTCCCCCTCCTTATCTGCAATCTGGTTCAGGAGTACCACTGCTCCATCCCTTCAGAACCAGACTGACAATGGGGGCAACAGTGGTAGGATCAAGGTGGGGTAGCCAATGAGACAGAATGCAAAGCTGACAGAAAACCTACTAAGGCTTACTTCCTTTTTTTTTTGAGTTGGAGTCTCACTCTGTCTCCCAGGCTGGAGTACAGTTGCACACTTACGGCCATCCCAGTGTCGACCTGTTGGGCTCCAGCAATCCTTCCGTCTCAACCTTCCAAGTAGCAGGAACTGCAGGCGTGGGCTACCATACTCGGCTAATTTTTATTTATTTATTTTAGAGACGGGGTCTTGCCAAGTTGCCCGGGCTGGTCCTGAGCCTGCCAGCTCAGGCAATCCTTTCACCTCGGCCTCCCAAAGTGCTGGGATTACACACTGAGCCACCGAGCCCAGCAAGTTTTATTTAAGTTTACCCAGCTGCCCAGAGGCCATAAATGCAAAGAACTAACATACATTTCTGTCAAGTCTTTTCACATATTCTCAAATGTAATACTGAAATGTGCTTGTGTACAGAAAACCCCTAAGAATTTGGCTGAATTTCAATTGGTTATTTTCTGCCTCATATTTTGGATTTGCAGATATTTTCTCTCTGATACAGCTGATGCAGCAATACAACAGATAATCTTTTTACTTTTTATTTTTGAAAATTTCAAACATACAGAAAAGTTGTGAATGACAATGAATGCTAGGAAACCCTTCCTCCACTTCAATTAACATTTTGCCACCTTCGATTTGCTTTCTCTCTCCCTCTAAACACACACATGCACACACAAGTATACATATTATTTTCTTTTTTTGTTTTTTTGAGTCGGAGTCTCACTCTGTCGCCCAGACTGGAGTGCAGTGGCCGCTCCCGGCCACCGCAGCCTCGACCTGCTGGGCTCCGGCGATCCTTCCGCCTCAGCCTTCCGAGTAGCCGGAATTACAGGCACGCGCTACCACGCCCGGCTGATTTTTTGATTTATTGTAGTGATGAGGTCTCGCTGCCCAGGCGGGTCTCGAACCCGCGGGCTCAGGCAATCCACTCACCTCAGCCTCCCAAAGGCGCAGGATTACAGGCTGAGCCACCGAGCCCGGCTCTTTTTTTTTTTTTTTTTTGAGTTGGAGTCTCACTCTGTCGCCCAGACTGGAGTGCAGTGGCCGCTCCCGGCCACCGCAGCCTCGACCTGCTGGGCTCCGGCGATCCTTCCGCCTCAGCCTTCCAAGTAGCTGGAATTACAGGCATGCGCTACCACACCCGGCTGATTTTTTGATTTATTGCAGAGATGAGGTCTTGCTGCCCAGGCGGGTCCGAACTCGCGGGCTCAGGTAATCCACTCACCTCAGCCTCCCAAAGGCGCAGGATTATAGGCTGAGCCACTGAGCCCAGCTCATATTATTTTCTTTATTGTTGAACCAATTTAAAGTAGGTTGCAAGCACTTTTTCATCTCTAAATAATCTCAATGGGTATTTTTAAAGAAAGGACATTCTCTTATATAACTATAACACTGTTATCAAGTTCAGGAAGTTTAACACTGATGCAATGCTATTGTCTAAATGGAAGACTACCGCAAACATTTAACTTTGGATCCTCCCCACAAACCTTTCTAAGGAAAATCGATATGTGAAAAATTACAGCATGGTTCATTATTACCTGAAGTTGATCGTGATGAAACCTCATGGGGCCAAATTGCACATCAGCTACTGCTACCTGTAAGAAAGAGATCTGCTTAAAAATAAAAATAAAGAGATAGAGAGAAGCTTGCTTAAATTTTTTCCCTAATTAGTTCCAGAAACAAAAGTAAAATGTCTACACTAGAGAAAAATTAAATAGTTAGTAGACACAGAAATAATTATGAGGAATCCCAAAGATCTCCTTGTGGCCCCCAGGAGAAGCAGGGAACAGGAAAAGGATAAATAAAATTAATCTGATCCTGGCGTTGCCTTTTACTAGCTGCATGTGACTTTAAGTCAATTACTCAATTTCCCTCAGCTTCAATTTCTCAATTGTTACAAAGAACAAACGAGATTACAATATAAAGAGCCCCCAATAGTAGACAATTAATAAACACTGATCCCCTCCCTGCCTACTTCATCTTTTCCCTGATGGACAACTATATCTTACATCCAAATGGCACATGAAAAAAGCAATCAAGCAGTCAGAAGCATGGAATGTCAGAGCCAAAGAAACTTCTAGAAATAGTTGACACCTTATTTTACAGAGGAGTATAGTAGTGCTTATCAATAGGGGTTTATTCACTTGAGAATTTAACACTAAAACATACAAAGTTATAACAAAGCCCCAGTGAGTAATAATAATCATAGCACCAACAGAGGCCTTAGCATGTTCTGGTCATGGTGCTAAGGGCTGAACCTACGTTATTTCACCAAATCCCACAGCAATGTGGTGAGAGTTTACAGTTGAAAAACTGAGGTTCCAGGCTAGACTTGGTGGCTCACGCCTGTAATCTCAGCACTTTGGGAGGCAGCGATAAGAGGACTGCCTGAGCCCGGGGGCTCAAGACCAGCCTGGGCAACTTGGCAAGACCTTGTCTCTATAATAAGATCAAAAAATTAAGCCAGGCTTGGTGGCTCAGCCTGTAATCCCAGTGCCTTGGGAGGCTGAGGTGAGTGGATTGCCTGAGCCCGCGGGGTTCGAGACGCGCCTGGGCAACTTGGCGAGACCTCATCTCTACAATAAAATCAAAAATTAGCCAGAGCCAGATGGTGCTCACCTGTAGTTCCAGCTACTTGGAAGACTGGGGCAGAAGTATTGCCTGACCCCAGCAGGTCAAGGCTGGGGTGACTGTGAGCATGCCAGCCTGGGTGACAGAGTGAGACTCCAACTCAAAGGAAAAAAAAAGAAAGAAAGAAAGAAAAACTGAGGTTCCAAGTACCTTGCTCAAGGTCACACAGTAGCAAATAGCGCTGGAATTTCACCCAGGTCTGTTTATCTATATAATCTGTGCTACAAACCAAGGGCCACTGGACAGTTTAGGTAATCTGTGCACAACCCAGAGGCGTCCCAGGGAGAAGGTTTCAGCCCCAAGGAATGAACTCTGGCACCTGGTTGCTACCCAGAGGAAGAGCACATTTTACAATCTGCCCAGAGACTATATGTGTTGAAGAGACCCCAATCCTAGGCCTTCAGATGATGGTATGATTCCATACCTAGAACACAGAAGTAGAAGAACTAGAGCCATAAGACTTCCTACAAGATGTTTTCTGACTCCCTGCCTCCAGTCTCTCCTCAAGCAGTGACACATGTAACAAAATCTGCTTAGTGATGAGGGAGAAATCCACATATACAAGGGGACACTTAAAAAACCCCAATCTTTTGGAGGTGGGCTCCTTATAGTACAGGTTTCCTCCACTAGGTAAGTGTTCTGGAAACCTATTGATATCAGTATACCAGGTAGCGTTGTTGTGAGAGGCTGCATTTGGCTTCAGAAAACATTTTTTTGGCGATTCTTTCAACATGTTTGCTCATTTCATGATAGGTCATTTATGAGCACACCTACCCACACCACACTGAGTACCCAGTAGTTTTTACACAAAACAGCATTACTCCCATGCTCAACCTCAACCTCCCTAGCCACCCAATCTCACCCCAAGTGACTTTTTTTTGTTTCCCCAGATGAAAAAAGTCCTCAAAGGGAAACATTTTGCCAGTGTGGAAGAAGTGAAACAAAAAAATGACAGAAACACCAAAAGACACCAAAATTGACAAGTTCAAAAACTGTTTTGAGCAGCAAAAAAAGCATCTCGATAGGTATATTGCATCAAGCGAAGAGTACTTTGAAGGTGACTGAAGTTTAAGCATGTAAAAATAAATACACAATTTTTAATAAACAAATTCCAGGTTTTTTGGATCCCTCTTGTATTTTTAACCATGAGAAGCTGATGCCCACTAATTAAGACCTGGCCATGGTATCAGTTTCTGGATTGCTTTGTAATAATTTTGTATCTCAGAAGGCATAAGAAGAAAGAAGGTCACTACTATTCTAGACCTAAGACTGTCCTCACCCAGACAAAGCTGCACTAGCAGAATGTGTCTGACGTAACTATTTTGGAAATTCTGGAGCTTGCAACTTCCAGGGTAAGGACTGAATAGTAAATTGCAGTTAATTTCAACTCTTACCACACAGTAGCTATTCACCCCTAACCCTATGGTAGACAGCTGTGTACATGTTTCTGAACCAATCTGCACAGCCAGGTAGACAAAAAAGGACTCTGTCCAACAGATATCAGAGATCTGTGCTCTGATTACTGATTGCTGCTTCTGATCACAGAGGTGCAGACAAAAACTTGAAAAGAGGAGCAAACTGTTGTTGCACCTACCCCCATTTTCAAGCCCTTCCTCCTCGGCTTAAGTGACTCCCAGGAGATATAAAGGACTACTGCCCTTTCCCCCTCCTTTCATTTTTCTTCTCTCCCCTCTTTGGAAGCCAGACATTGGGGACCAGGATATTTGAAAGCAACTGCAGACGCAGGGAAAATGAGAAAGTGATTACATAAGCCTGGGAAGGCTCAGAAAATGCCTGAGAAGACCTTAAGTTTACACCTTAGCCTGATCCTTGGCACAGAGATAGCCTACAATAATTTAAAAAACAAAATAACAAAAACTGCAAACACTGGGAATGGGGGAGAATATGATTTTCAGAGTTACCACATCATTAAATTCAAATGTCCAATTTTCAGCCAAAAAAGTCACAAAGCATGCAAATTAATAGAAAAGTATGGCCCATTCAAATAAAAAACAAATCAACAGAAACCACCCCTAAAGATAGCTGATGGCAGATCTACTAGACAAAGACTTTACAACAACTAAATTAAAGATGCTCAAAGAACTAAAAACAGATGTGGAGAAAGTCAAGAAAATGTCATATGAACAAAATGAAAATATTAACAAAGAGACGAAAAGCCTAAAAAGAACCAAACAGAATTTTTGGAGGACAAAAACTGAATTGTAAAAATTCACAAGAGAATCAAAGGCAAATACAGGCAGGCAGAAAAAAAAAAAATCAGCAAATATAAAGACAGGACTACTACAATTATCACATTTGGGAAAAAGAAAAGACTGAAGAAAAATAAACAGAGCCTAAGGTGCCTGAAGGATACCATCAAGGAAACCAACATCATGAAAGGCCCAAAAGCAGAAGAGAGAGAGAGAGAGAAAAAGATAGAGAAAATATACGAAGAAATAATGGCTGAAAACATCCCAAATTTGATGAAAAACATAAATATAAACATCCAAGAAGCTCAACAAACTCCAAGTAAGATGAACTCAGAGTCACACTAAGACATACTATACTCAAAGACAAAGACAAAGAGAGAATCTTAAAGCAATAAAGAAGGAACTAATACAAGGACTTCTGAATTAGATTATCAGATTTCTCATCAGAAACTTTGGAGGCCAGAAGGCAGTGGTCTGATATATTCAAAGTGCCGGAAAACAACAAAAACTAAAACTAAAACTAAAAACAATTGTCAATCAAGGATCCTATATCCGGCAAAACTGTCATCCAAAAGTCAGAAAGAAATTAAGACATTCCCAGATAAACAAAAACTGAGGGAATTCATTGCCAGTAGACAGGCCCTGCAAGAAATGTACAAAGGAATCCTGCTGGTCCCCCAGGATGCTCAAGTCCCTTATACAACCTACACACATTCTAATGTATACTTTAAATCATCCCTAGATTACATATTATTATTCCTAATACAATGTAAATCCTATATAAATAGTCATAATGTATTCAGGAAGCCTTTCATAGTCTCAGCTATGGTCTGTGCATCTTAGAAATCAGGGGTCAAGAAGTATGTTCACTTAATATAAGGCTGACTTTTGGTTGTGCACACAGAGATACAGAAGTATTTACGGACTAGCCCCAAATCACAGAGCATATAAGAGAGATGCTTCTGGACAGGTGCAGTGGCTCATGCCTATAATCCCAGCACTTTGGGAGACTGAGGCAGGAGGTAGCTTGAGGCTAGGAGTTTAAGACCTGCCTGGGCAACATAACAAGACCTCATCTCTACAAAAAAATTAAAGAATCAGCTTGTAGCACCATCTACTCAACAGGCTGAGTTGGAAGGATCGTCTGAGCCCAAGAGGTTGAGGATGCTGTGAGCCATGATCATACCACTGCACTCCAGCCTGGATGACAGAGGGAGACCCTGACTCAAAAATATAATATTAAATTTAATATAAAATGTGGCATAGGCATACAATGGAACATTATTCAGCTATAAAAAAAGGATGGCAATTTTGACATATGCCATAACATAGACAAACCTTAAGAACATTATGCTAAGTGAAATCAGTCATTAAAAGACAAATTCTGTTAATTCCACTTACATAAAGTACTTAGAGTAGTCAAAATTGTGGAAAGAGAAAGCCGAAAGTGGTTGCTAAAGGCTGGCAAAGGGAGAAATAGGGAAATTATTAATGGATACAGTGTTTCACTTTTACAAGATGAAAAGAGTTCTAGAGATAGATAGTGATAATGGTTGCACATTATGAATGTACTTAATACTACTGAACTGTACACTTAAAATGGTTAAGATAGTAAGCTTTATGTTATGTGTATTTTACCAGTTTTTTTAAATTGGGAGAAAATATATAATCATACAAGGGGAGGGACCAAAATAATTATCTTTTGGAGGGCGGGCTTCTTGTAATACAGGCTTCCCCGCTAAATAATTGTTCTA